CACAAGGCGTTGTCACTTCCTGTTCCATTTCTTTGTTCATATGAACCTGAATAACCCTTTCCTGCTTCTTTTACAGCATGGAGGAGTGTGAAGCGCTCTGCACCAGGATGGCCATCATGGTCAACGGCAGGTTCCGCTGCCTGGGCAGTGTGCAGCATCTCAAAAACAGGTAGGCACACACAACACAACAGTACACAACACAGTGGTTCACACAGACTTGAACTTTTGAAATGATGAATCTAATTATAATTGTAGTGTTGACTAATTTTCTCAGTTTTATGCACAGCAATATAAACAGTAATCAACACCTGACTTTTGGTTGCTCTTGTAGCTATACATCAATGAAATATATTGTTTTGTGTTCTTGCCAGATTTGGTGATGGCTACACCATCATCCTGCGGGTGGCGGGGCCGGTCCCAGACCTCCGGCCGGTGATGGAGTTCATTGAGCGGGAGCTTCCAGGGAGCACGCTGAAGGAGAAACACCGCAACATGCTGCAGTACCAGCTCCCCTCGTCCCTCACCTCCCTCGCCCGCATCTTCTCCCTGCTCTCGAAGAACAAGGAGGCACTCAGCATAGAGGACTACTCCGTCTCTCAGACCACTTTAGACCAAGTAAGCAAGCGCGCCCGAAGACCATGACAAGGTTGCGACTTCGATTAAATCAAAATCTAATGTGGGTTTTTTTTTTTCTCCTCTTCTTTCTCCCGCAGGTGTTTGTAAATTTCGCCAAGGACCAAAGTGACGAGGACCATTTGAAAGATGTCCATCTGAACAAGCGGGACGCTATTGTAGTGGACATTTCCCAGCTAAACTCTTTCCTCATGGACAACAAGACCAGGGAGAGCTGTGTCTGATTCCTCAACATACCATCAGTGGGAGTTGCTTTGCTTCACCCATCCTCCCTCCCCTCCCTCAGCCTAAAAACACGGACCATTAACCTGCAGGGGGAGGGGGGGAGACGGACTATGTTCATTTTTTTTATTTCTACTTTTTAGTCTTTTTTAATTGTTATCATTTCTCAGTGGACCTGCACTTCAGCGCACAGCCTCTTGAAAAGGCAGAGACTGCAGGTATCGTGACAGACACTGAAACAATGAAAACTCAATGCAAATCAATGCAAGAAATACATATAAATATATTTAAGATGAGAAGATATTTGTGTGAGGGTTGGAGACTGGTGCTTCTCCTTCACAAGGTGGTTAGATAGAAAGAAAAGACTAGAACACTTGAAGTGACGGCAGGATTTAAAGCCTGTGTTAGACTGGAAAGCATGTAGCCTGGCTACTCACTCAACGGACAAGACGTAGGGGATGTTAGAACGACATCTCTAGCTTTTAATCCCCTTTCCTCAAAGTAGTTCACGTAGTCAGGGAGACAGTGTATTTGTTACATTGCCTTGAGAAATCATGACAGTGTAAAGCAAAAAAAAAAAAGAAATTCGGATCATTCACTGCCAGTTGTAAAAAGATGGACTGACTGCTTTTGTATTCAGGGTCAAACCTCTCGATTTCTCTTCGTTACCAAGCGCAGTTGTTTTATAATGCAAATGATGGTAAAAAAGAAAAAAAAAACGCATTTACAATCCAGTTTCAGTCACAAATGTGCAATCATCAACAATAATTTTTACTAATTAGATTTTTAAAGCTAATTTAATTCTTCTAGACAAAACATAACCTCTATAGAGTTTTTTTTCTTTTCGTTGTTTGGATAACGATTAAGACTGCTAACCAAGTCGTCTTTTCTATGTTATTCTCGGTGTCCTTGACCTTGTCCAGCACAGTGCCTATACTGGTGGAGAGAGAAATTTGAGCACTCCATTAAAAACAACAATGTATGTAGGCTGCCAAGGAATGTATACGACCGATACCAACATTGCATCAAAGCACAAAAAGAGCCTTTTTGTGAAGAAACCTGACTGTATCGTTTTTAAATCGTGTCCTTTTATTGTCGAAAAGAAAAGAAAAGAAAAAAAAAAATCTCGTGGTTCCTTGGTGTCTGTACAAGATGCGCGGTCTGCTATACTGGCTTGTTTTTTTTTTTACCCAACCTGCCCTCGTGAAATGGAACGGAAGGCTTATCAGAAAGGACACAAGGTGGCTACGGTGTTACTGAAGACTGGTTTTTGAAAGTGACCTGGAAATATATACTGCATGCTTTCCACTGGGCCACACATCTGGACTATCAACGCTTCTATGTGTGTACCAAAGCATGCCGCCAGATCTGAAGGAACGGAGAGGCCAAAAAAAATCTGCTTCGTCGTTGTTGGATTACCGGCACAATGTGTGGAGTCCCGAATTATGTTGTGAAAAAAAAAATGGATGAAAATGTGATTTTTTTTTTTTTGGCAGTGAGATGAAGCAGATGGAAATGCTTTTCTAAATGCCCGCGTGAGGGCACAATGGGAGCGTTTTTAGAACTGAGCCAGTACCGATGTGGATATTATGTACAGTAGCAATTTTGTGATGTCGAGTCAAAAAAAAAAAAAAACATGTTACCAGTGGAGTGAACAAACAGTATCTGTGCCAAATGGAGCTGAACATGTATCTTTGATCAACCAGCATATTGTCGAGGAGGGAAGTGTTTTGTAAAGTTTTGCTTCGATTTTTGTTTTAAGTTCTTTATCCATCAGCTCAACCACAGAAATCCTCCTCTTCGCATTGTCAGCAGCTCGAAACAAAAAAAAAGGCACGTGTGAAATTTGTGCTCTCTCTCGTTCCAATTAGACTGCAAGGTCTTTCTATCCTCCAGTGCTGTTGCCAAATTCTAATCTCTCTGTTCGTTCACGTACTGCCACGCTGAAGTTGAATGTGCTGTCGGTAACTTCAAATTTAGAGGTGAGGTTGAGATATTTCACGGGATTGTTTCTCAGAATAAGCCAGGCTGAACACGAGGACCGTGTCAATTAGAATTGTGCTTGTAATGCTTTATATTCCAAAATCATCCAGGATTTCAATTCATGACAGATTGTCATTACAGGTGCTCTGTGTCATACAAAATCTTGGAAGGGGTTTCCTTTATCTCGGGGATCTTGCTCTTCAGACTTGCACCAACACTGAGAGTCTGATCCTTGTCCCACCAAACCCCTCTTTTAAAATAATTGAGCACTTTATAGGCTTCGTTGCCCGTTCTTTTAACTGTGTAGTAATAGAGATTTGGTTATGGAAAATGTAAAAAACAAATCTCGGCACTGGAACACAGACACGATTCAGACGAAATGAAGCTACACCACTGCGTTAAAAGATTTGTGTGAAACTTGAAACTGAGAACGAAGGCTTACATGTGGTTGAGGAGTGAGTAGTTAAAGAGAGAAATGCAGGACAGTACAAAGGTGGGGATTCTTCTCTTCTCGTGCTCAATATTATTATTTGTTTACATTTTTAGGTATTACAGCTGTTTGAGTCTGTTACCCATTGTGTATAGTTACTCTTTACATTAATAAAAATTCATACATTTTGAAAAAACTCCTGATGTGATTCTTTTTTTCTTTATTGTATCCTATTTACGTACAGTTGAATCCTGAAGTTACACTGTTTTGAAAGACACATAACCTTTTTTTTTTCTCACTATCTGACATTAATTGTGACTAAACTTTTCCTGTTTTTGGTCACTTAGGATTACCAAAATTATTTCTATTTGCAAAATGCGAGAAAAATGGGAGAGAATTTTTTACAGAAATTTTTATTGCTTTCTTTAAAGTCAGAAGTTTACATACATTTCCTCCAGTGGTCTATTTGAAGACCCATTTGTGCCCAAGCTTTAACTTACTGGCTGATGTCTTGAAATGTTGCTTCAATATTTCTACATAATGTTCTTTCCTCATGATGCAATCTATTTTGTGAAATGCACCAGTCCCTCCTGCAGCAAAACACCCTCACGGCATGGTGCTGCCACCCCTGTGCTTCACCGTAGGGATGGTGTTCTCAGGCTTGCAAGCTGCCCCCTTTTTCCTCCAAATGTAACGATTGTCACTGTGGCCAAGCAGTTCGGATTTTATTTCAGCAGACCACAGGACATGACTCCAAAAATAAAGATCTTTATCCCTGTGTGCATTTGCGAACTGTAATCTGGCCTTTTTATGCTGCTTTTAGGAGAAATGTCTGCTTCATCTCTGAGTAGCCTTTCAGTCCATGTTGGTACAGGACTGGTTTCACTGTGGATAATGACTTTTAGGTCTTTTGCTTTTGTTCTGGGGTTGACGCGCACATTTCACACAAAAACACGTTCATCTCTGGGACACCGAACCCATCTCCTTTCCGAGTAGTGTGTACAAATGTTTGAACAGGTGACCGTGGAACCTTCAGGCATCTGGAAATTGTGCCCAAAAATGAACCAGACTTGTGGAGGTCCACAATTCTCCTCCTGATACCTTTAGATGTTGTCACACGAGGAAGCGGTGTGTTTGAAGTGAGCCTTAAAATACATCCACAGGTGTGTCTCCAATTAACTCAAATGTTGTCAGTTAACCTATCAAAAGCTTCTAAAGCCATCACATCATCATCTGGGCTTTCCCAAATAGTTTGATAGTATAGTAGTCTTAGTGGATGTAAACTTCTGACTTTGAAGAAAGTAATGTAAAAAAAAAAAGAAAAAAAGAATTCTCTAAAAATAATCTTTCTCTCATTATTCTGGCATTTAGCAAATAGAAATAATTTTGGTAATCCTACCTGACCCAAAACAAGAAAAGTTTAGTCTGATTTAATGTCAGACAGTGAGAGAAAAAATAAAATTAATGTCTTTTTATACAGTGTATGTAAACTTCTGGTTTCAACTGTATAAAGCTAATGTGAGCTTGTCACGTGAATGACAGCGTGTAGCTACTCATTGAGCAAAGATGTGTTTACTGTATGTCTGGGTGTGTGATAATGTGAGCTGATGACGAACGGTTTCTAGACTTTGCATGTGTTCATGCGTCAGAGTTCACCTGCTGTGTTCCCACGCACATACATGCACACACACACACACGTGTAATGAAACTGCTGGTAAAAAGAGCAGCTCACTTGCTGGTAGCTGACATTCAAAGTTACTCATCCACCAACAACATGACTGGGAGAGTTATTTTTCTGGGACTTCTGCTCTTCTGTGTGGCTGCAGGTAATAAAGAAGAAAAAAAGCACTTTTCTTGGGAAACAATGTACTTTTTAGAAGCATTTTACTTTAAGGTTTGATATAGATTTAGATCTAGATGTGGAGCAAATCATGTTTAGAAGGTATTGATCTGCTGTAAATGTTCTGAAACACTGTGTTAAAGGGGAGTCAGTGCAACTTCTTTGACAGCGGTCTGCAAAACAGCTCTACGAAGTATAATCTGATTTTATGATACACTTAACCTATTTCAATCATTTATGGCAGCGTTACATCAGGTATTATATAATAGGCTCTCATGTGCTCTAGTTATGTATTTTTGTAGACAAAAATTAAACATTTTTAGTTGTATCACAGGTAGTTTGATAAAATTTTGTCCTACCAGAAGACATTCATGTAGTTTGTTTGTTAGTTTTATTAGCTTTAAACTGATCCATTTCCCCGTATGATCCCTGATGATCATGTATTTACATGTGAGCTGGACTTTACCCATTTATGACTAGTCTGCTTGTTTTAAAGGTGCAGAGGAGAGGTCTCCACATGAGAGAAGGGTGACTTTTATCTTTTTATTTTCTTTTATATTCTTGTATGGGAAGGTGTTTTGTGCATTGTTGTGTGGATGTGTAGAGTCAAAATAACTCATTTAAAACGTACTCAAAGATTAGTATAGAATATGAGCATACTGGATTGTAACTGTGATTTTCCCGGCAGCCTTCTTGTCTCGACATGGCGGACATCGTGGCGTGCCCTATGAACCTGGCTCCTGTGTGTGGCAATGATGGAAACACATATCCCAATGAGTGTACTCTGTGCGTCCAGAGTCGGTGCGTACACACAGCTGCTCCACGCTCACCATGTTCACACACAAGTTCAACACAACCCAAGCCGGCTGTATGGAGGGTAAAATGCCGGAGCTGCCCTCTGGTGGTGAAAGAATTTAGAGAGACTGGCTTGTAGCAGCTCATTCAAGAGAGACGTTGCAATTTAGTCTTTCAGGAATTATTTCATTTTTGCAATAGCTTCTTTAAGTAGTTACAAAAACAAACCACTTTACAGATTCTTTAATTAATTCTAATGATGGATGGTTTTGTTAGTGTGTAACTCTTGCTGAAATCTGAAGAAACAGATCTTTGCCTCTCTTTCTGTGTCTCTCTCTCTCTTTGTTCTTTTTTGTTAAACCTGTAACACCCAGTTAGCTTTTGACACAAATGACCTTTGATAATTTTTTATCTCCAGCCCTGTCACACCCCCAACACATTCAGAGATAATGACTTAATACGAGGTCTGACTTCCCAGAAAACCCTTTGGACTGACCTCATTATCGTCACCCTGTTTACAAGTCGATAATGGAAAGTTAACCTAATTGTCAGCTGTCAGAATGAATCGCAGACATGTCATGCTGTTGTTGTTCTTCACAGAAAAATCAAGATGGACATTTACATTGTGAAGGAGGAGAGCTGCTGACCTGCTGGTGAAGTCACCGCCAAGGGGCCCAGCGAGGATCTGATTATCAAAGCAAAAATTATCTTTGGAATGACGACTGGATTCCAAATGTCTTAAATATGCATCATTGCTATGAATAATAAATTCCAATAAACAGCATCCTTGTGATATTTTCTTTTGTTGACCGAGAAATTTTAACAAATCTGATGTGCAGTCTGGATCACAGAGGGCATGAAACAGATAATGTCTTCACTGAAGTCAGTATCGAGGGGGAAAGAAAACAAATAAAAGACAAATTCATTAACTCGGTAACACAATCCGAGTAACGTTCCTCTTTAAAGTGAAGGCGGAGGGTGAATGATCGGTTGGTTATCTCAGTGAGAAAGCCAACTGTGTACACTCTTTATACTGAGTAACACAGCGGTCAATAGTGTGTGTGTGTGTGTGTGAGAGAGAGAGAGACAGGCACATGTGGACAGAGTGTGAACAAAAAAACAGTGACATAAAGTTTTGAATCCTGAGGTCAAAGGTCAAAAGTGAGTCACATGGTTGAAACCAGGAAAAAGGGGAAGTGATATCAAACCACAGTTGCTTCCTTTGTCCATACCGTGGAGCCGAAACAAAGCTCTGTGGACCTCCAAGGTAGCAGCTTATCAAAGATGATAAGAAACCAAGTGGAACATGAGTAAGTACAAACTTCAAACGTTGTGTATCATTGTCACTAGTGGTACAGTGCTTTACTTTGGAACTGTTTGCTGTTATTTTGTCACGGTAATGCTGAAGTTCAGCTTAGGATTCGCAACCTGATGTGTTGTTAAAAGCGAGACAGCAACAATAAACTCAGAGTTTTTAAAGCATCATGAAGTCGTGTTGTTGAATGTTAATGATTTGCAGACACTGATGTCCACTTCTGTTCACTTTTAATGTGTT